TTTCATTTGATACGATCGTTTCTCAAAATATTTCTAATTGTGCAGTAAAATACCATTCTTCCGATAAGTTATTTTTCAGCGAATGTTTATCTAAAATTGATTGTCTAAATTCAACTAATACAAATAAGGCATCTATATGCACTGATCATGCGATCAGTACATTTAACTGAAACATGACATTTTGTTTTCGATTCCTGACAAACGATTTAAAGAACTTTCACATAACAAACAACAATTTTCAGTCTGACTGGCCAGAATGTCATGAAATCACTTTAAAGAAAAAGAAATACAAACAATCAACATATTTTAAAAAGGAATATGTATTTGTGTAGGGAGTGGCAATTAAGAAGAAAAAGAAAGTATTTGAGGGGGATAGACAATATTATTGATTTAGAGAAGTATAAACTATTTTTACTGTATTTTTGCTCGTACCAAATTACCTTAAGATGAAAATTTGTTTTTCGATTTTGAAAATTCTTTTATTGATTTAGCAAATGTCTCAACATAAAAGCTTCTGATGTTGTTTTCCTTCTTTAAACATTTTCTAAGACACAATTTATTTCGAAATGTATTCTGCAAAGAATCGAAAAGCAGTAAAACCAATTGAACAAAAGGTTTCTTTCAACCCATTGTTCATTCGACATTTAAATAATAATTTCTCATCATATTTAGAATCCAAATACAATTATTCAAAATCATGTTATGAAAAATACCAATGCGGCCAATGTTTTAGTTGCTGAGTATGATGTTATTCATAAAGAAAGACCAATATCATGTTGGAAACGTGATTTAATCATCCCTCGTTGGTTGTTATTAACATTAGTTACATTGGGTATTCTCGCTATTGCTGCATTTCTGATCTTTACATTGGTTGTTACTTTGCAAAAATCAGGAAATGGAGGACCATGTAAAACGAATAGTGATTGTCGACAAGATCGTGGTTTAATGTGTAATAATTATCGTTGTGGATGTGCATATTCACATTTTTGGAGTGAAACATATTTAACATGTGAACGACGACGAATGATCAATCGAACGTGTGTCAATGATTCTGAATGTGATATTTTAGCAAATCTTCAATGTTTCAATGTTACATTAAGGTAATTGAAGAAATAAATATCGAAATATGTTTGTTTTATATGATAAAATTTGTAGTAATGGTGATATTCAACTTCAATGTCAATGTAAAGCTTCATTGAATTGGGATGGTGTTATTGTAATTATTTGAATAAAAAAAATTTCAATTGAAAATAAATATTGAATATATTTTAGTGCAAAGATCAAGGTCTATACAATGATTCATGTTTAACTGATGCAAATTGTGATACGACACGATATTTATATTGTGATTTATCATTGGGAAAAATATGTCAATGTAATACATCAATGTTTTGGAATGGAAAAAAAGGTTCAGGCACATGTGAATATAAAAGAACGGTAAATCAATATTGTTATCCATATGATGATAGTTGGTGTGATTATTCTGCACCAATGGGTCAAGGTTTAACATGTGCCAAATATTCCAATCCATATGGAAGTGAATATGGTCAGAACAAATTTGGATTTATTTTTACATTTCTTCACATGATTTTATATTTTAGGTGTTTGTCAATGTGGATCAACACAATTTTACAATGGTACACCTTCATTAGGTAATGGTTTTTGTGAACCATTACGAACATTCAATAAATCATGTACAGCTACTTCAAATTGTGATTATCGAAAGAATTTAATATGTACAAAAAATCTCTGTTCATGTCCATTAAGTACAAACTATGATCCATCAGTTATTATCTCTTCTGGTGTCACAGGTTATTGTAAACCAGCAGCAACTTATTGGGATAATTGTACATCAATTATTCTATGTAGTACATCACAAGGTCTTTATTGTGATTATACGATTTGGGGATCATTAATAGTTGGTCAATGTTTATGTAATTCAAGTTTTACGTTTTGGGATGGTTCAACATGTGCAAATAAATTATCTATTGGTGGAAAATGTACAACAACTGTTGAATGTAGTTCAGGAGATGGTTTATTTTGTAGTAATTATTCTCAATCAATAGGTACATGTGATTGTGATAAAAATCATTTTTGGAATTATACTTGTATTCAAAAACAATTATTTAATACAAGTTGTACATCATCATATGTTTGTGATGATAATCGAGGTTTGTTTTGTCAAGGTACAGGTGGTGCTCTTTTTCAAAAATGTGATTGTTTTAATATAAGTTATGTATGGGATTCATTATATGTTACTAATCATTCAAAAATATGTGTTTTAAAAATGGGATTTGGTCAATCAACATGTTTTGGTGATATGGAATGTCAAGATTATCGATATTTAAAATGTTTTAATGGAACATGTTTATGTAATTATGATATGTATTGGGATGGAAATGTTTGTCAAGATAAACGAAATCATTCAGTTGGATGTACAAATACATATGAATGTCGAGATTTTTCACCAGTAAATTTGATTTGTACAACAACATCAACAGGATTACAAGCATGTCTTTGTAATATTTCATCATATTGGGAACCATGTACAGCAACATGTTTAATTGCCAAACATGTAAAGAAATTTCTTTCAATAGAAATTCATATTTAATATATTTATTTTAGCGTCATGAACCTTGTACATTAGTATCAAATTGTTCAACACAAGAATGTTCAAAACTTGAAAATTTACAATGTATAAATGATAGTAATTCTAATCAAACAAAATCTGGTTGGTGGTATGTTATGAAAATATATTTATTTTTAAAAAGATATTTTCTTAATTAATTAGTAATTGTACAAGTATTCAATGGTGGAATGGAACATATTGTCGTGATAAAGGCATTCCATCTTGGGGTGCAAATTCGAGTGCTGTTTGTAATGCGACATATCAATGTGCAGATTATAATTTAGTTTCTTGTCCATTTGGTTCAAGTTCAATAACATCTGTTGCTACATGTGAATGTGCAACAACAAAATATTGGGTAAAAAGAAAGATTTTTATTCAATTGTGATTTATTTTGTTGAATATTTTCTTTTTTAGAATGGAATAACTTGTATTGATCGAGTATTGTTTGGTCAATCTTGTACAGATTGGACATTTAATCCAGTGAATACATCAACATGTTTATCAGCTGCTGGAGCAGGTTTGATATGTCAACATTCGAGTGGTTTTGGTAATGGAACGTTTGTAGGAACATGTGTATGTCCAACTAAGGCACATTGGAATGCAACTTTTTCTATATGTGTTTATTAAAGATTCGGGGTTTTTTTTTTCAAAATAGAAAGAGAAGATCGATGATTTTCATCTGATTTATTGAAATATTTCTTTATTTGAATTGAAAAGATGTTTTTACTGTTCTTTTAAATATGTATTTTTACATGAATATCAAAGTTGATGAGAAAATGTGATGAATATCATTGATAAAAGAAGAAAAAATGAAATTTGAAACGTTGAACCAGTTAATCGTCCATCTGGTGTCTGAGTTATATTGTTTCTCAATAGAATTTCCTTCACTGCATTTAATGTTCCTTTTGTATTACATAAATCTCGATGACATAAAAGTTCAAATGTTGCAGTTGTTGAATCTTGATGCATTCGAATAGATATTTCCGGTTTTGCTGAAGAAATTCGACATGATTGTGTTATTTTATTTGATTTAATTTGATTTTCTAAAACACAAGATCCACGAGTTGGAAATTCTGCACATAATTGTCCTTTTTCATTCGAATCATAACAATTTAATCGACGAATTTGCATTGGACCTATCATATATTCTTCTAATTGATTGACAAGTTTTGAGAAATCATATTTTCGTTGGGATAATTCATTTGAAATTTGAATAGCTAAATCTCGTGCACAATCATCCTTATCTTTACATTCAATATCAACATAATGTGAAAACCAGACTTTTCTTGATTCACCATCTATCTGTAATAGACCACGACGTTGATTATTCGATGCAAAAACTGTACTTGTTGATGAACTTGTTAATGAAAAAAAGTAATTTTGAATATCAAATTGAAATGCAAGATTAGCTTTACATTTACCAGCTGAAACGATTTGATTACATGTCTCAGGATAAATAAATGAAGTTGAACTATTATATGAATACGAACAATTTGTTGTACATTTAAGAGCTTCACAAAACCAAAATGATAGAAGGAATAGAAGAATAGAAGTTTTGTAGAACATCACATTAAGGAAAAATAACGATGTATATTAAATATATATGTTCTCGTTTTTTTTTCTCTTCGTGACGCATGTCAATATTTAGATTTTTGATAAGGTTACCATAGGATTGTGATGTGTCTCCCAACTACTAATGTGTTGAGAATATGACGTGTTTTAGAAAAGAAAAAAAAACTAAGGTAATAAAATATTCTGTTGTGATAATCTCAATTATCCCAAGATTTATAAAAGATCAAAAATCATCGTATAAGATCATGTAGAATCCATGTAATTGTTTTGTACTCAATTCTATCAATAAATCTGTTATCAATTGTTGTAGCGATGTCCTTAATTTGTTATCATCACCAGGTGACGTTAACTTTCTTGAAAATATTATTTTCGCTAATTGTCACGTATTCATAATGTCTTTTTTTGTTGTTGTTTCGTTATCTTATTTTCTTCATCTCCTTTTTTTGATGATTAATTCTTCGTTTTCTTCAATAAAATCTCAACATCATCACTTATCATTCAATTCTTTATACAATGAAGATTTTGACATGAATTTCATTTCTTTTATCACAATCATAATAATCAGATTACGATTAACTCAATGATTGAAGATATTTCACTTGTTCATATTTTAAGATTCACTTAAATATGTTCAAAAAAGAACTCAAACACGAAAGTGAAATATTTAAACTAAATTGAGAATATTTTATTTTCAAGATTACAAATACAACATTTGATTTTGATTTGTCTAATAAATATTGATGAAAATGATGATGTTCTTTGTATTGCATTTCTTCTTCGAATACTAAACATGATTATTTTATTGTTCGTTGATTTCTCTGTAAAGAATTCCATAAGGTCGTATTGCACTTGGATTACGACAAACCCAAACCAATCTATTTGTTGTTTTGATAATTTCACTAGATTCAACTCTGACTTGAAATATCACCTGATATCGTTTTCCATCCATTGTTAATGGTCTAGCATAACGTTCATTTCCTGAATATGTTGAATAAGGCGATAAATAGATTCCTTTTCCATGAACTTCACCATTCAATTGTTGAATACCTTGACTTCCACCAGCTAATAATCCATTACATAAAATCTTTCGAGCATTATCACTTGCTGTACCATGATAAGCAACTGGCCATGCATTTTTATCAATACCTAACCAAGTAGTATCTTTATATTTTCGAAGAACATCAATGGCAATTCGATACCATCCACGTGGTCGAAAGTAACGTTCTGGACCACGATATTCAATTTTGTTTATTTCATTTTCTGATGTAAAATCATAATCATATACGATATTAAGCAATGCTTTGTCCAACATAATAAANGTGTAAATAGAATTCGAACTGAAAGATTGAACAATTCAACATCTACGATTTGTCGTAATTCAATATCATTACAATGGAAATTTGATTTGTTTCATTTGATTTTCGGTTAATTTGTATTTTCCAAGAAATAAATTTGATTTTTTTCGAAAAATAGGAATATTTTTTGCTTTTGAAACATCTTCAACATTTTCCTTCAATGTCACATTGAATAATTTGACAATTTCATGAAATTGTCGATATATCGCAAATTGTACTGCTGTTTGAGAAAAATATTTATCTTTAATATTTATATTTGGATTATATTTCAATAAGAATATGTTCATTGTAACAAGAATAATGTAATGTCGTCCAATTCTGATGATCACGATCATCAATAATTGTTGGATCATGTTCTAAAAGATATTTAAATGACCTGATCGACTAGCATAATGAATAGGTGATCCACTAACATTAAATGCATGATTATGACAATCTCGATGTCGACAAGAACGAATCAGAGATTTATCATTTATAAGAAAAGTCTTGACAAGAGATAAACAATCACATTCAGCTGCATGTAACAAATCCATTTTTGATTATGAAAATATTTGGTTTAGAGTTTTTTTTTCTCTTGAGTCATGAAGATGAAATAAATTGTGCAATAATGAAATGACGCTTTTTTCTTGTTAATTTGTCTAATCTTGATAATATAAGAGAACGAGACACAAAATCATATTGTGTACAAATTTACCTTCGTGACGAATTTTTTTAACTATAAAAAAAAACATTGTCAATATTCCTCGATTTACATGACGATCAATTTAATTAAATTAGATTAAATTCTCATTTTCATAGAAATACTTTATAAAATGTATGTTCTCTGAAGATAATATCGAACAGATCAAAAACAATATTAATAAATCAACGTTTGGGAAAAATGAAAATGAATGTTTTATTATTTGTGTGAGATAAAGAAGATCAACAAAACTTCAAAGAACAAATTTGTTCATTTATTTCTCTAAAAGTGTCAATGAAACAAGTAAAGAAAACAAATCTTAACAAATAGTTTCATATTTTCCAAATCTCTTCAAAGTTATAAATATGAAGGTACACAGAAATGTTTATATGTAATGGAAAGGAGATCGATATACAAATCGAAAGAATTAATTACAATTTCTCTTCGTTGTTTTAAATGTTCGACAACAAATTTCATCGAAATTATTTATCAAAACAATCATCTTCTCACATTTTAGCGACATTAAATCGATCAAATAATAAAAGAAACATCGACAAAATGATGAAAAAAAAAGAGGAGATAATATACAAAATTTTGTAAATTAATAGTTTGAGATGAACAACACAAAGAATTTTTGAAATCCCAATATTTAATCGAACATTTTTCTTTGATTATCAAAGAACATTTTCGTCTATAAAAATAAATTGATATGAAGTTTTGTTCTCTTTGAAGTTAAGATTTGTGTTATTATGATAATAACACTACAAGTAAAGTGTCTTCTAACTCCAATACTTTTATAATTATGAAATTATGTGTGTAATGAAGAGAACAAATGAATATTTTCATTGATAATTAAATGTTTCTACAGAAAATTGATGAACTCTTTTGATAAAAAATATCAAAATTTTATTTAAAAGATTTTTGAAGATATTTAATTTTGTTGTTCTCATAATTACTTAGGGCATACCAAAAGTAGTGGCAACGACACTTTTTTACTCTATAGCAGACTTGAAGAATTTTTCTTTTTATACAGGCTAATAGAGAAAAAGAAGCTGTATCTTTCTATGGTATTTTATCACAGTTCAGCCAATATCATAATATTAAATTATGTGTAAAACTTATTTCAGTTGGTTATGTGCTGGTTGTATTGACACTTATTTTAAAAAATACGGACGAGTATTTTTTGAATAACTTCTGATAAAAACAAGATAGGGAACTGCGGTTTTCACGGTTGGAAGGAAGAAATGAAGACGCATCGAATCATATACTCTAGGAGTTCTCTGATTTGTTTTTCGTAAAGTTTTCAATGGATTCTGCTAAGACCAATCTATCTGGTAAGTTGTTCATAATGAATTTTCAATTATTAAGTATACGTTTCGATCATTAATGGTAGATCCATAACGTGCAAAAGTTTCTGATAAATAATATGTGTTTTAGTTGAGCCTCTCATATCATTTTCTAATGGAATCTGAAAAAATCGCTATTATTTGCTTTTTGGGTTTTTTATAAAAAAAGCTCCTTTTTTACAGTAAGAAAGCTAAATAAAAACTTTTAAGAAATAGTATTAGAAAAAACTTGTTATATACGTTTCGAATGTCAAAATACTTAGGGCATACCAAAAGTAGTGGCAACGACACTTTTTTCCTCTATAGCGGATTTGAAGAATTTTTCTTTTTATACAGGCTGATAGAGAAAAAGAAGCTGTATCTTTCTATGGGATTTTATCACAGTTCAGCCAATATCATAATATTAAATTATGTGTAAAACTTATTTCAGTTGGTTATGTGCTGGTTGTATTGACACTTAT